AACGCGGCACCTTCCGGGTCCAAGTTACACTGGCCTGCCGCCAAACCTTCACCCCGTGGTCAGACCTTGCGTTCCTCCGGGCAGGAATGCCCCTGGAGCAGGTTTCCAGGCATTCTGTGGTTTGCACGGATGCCTCAACCACTGGCTGGGGGGCCACGTACAACGGGCTGGCAGTGTCAGGGGTTTGGACGGGGCCCCAACTGCACTGGCTGTCTCGAGTTGCTGGCAGTGCACCTTGCCCGGGGCCGTCTCAAAGGGCGCTTACGAGGCAAGCATGTACTAGTGCGCATGGACAACACAGCGACCGTTGCGTACATCAACCGACAAGGCTCCTCGCCCGCCACCTCCTCCTCTGGAGTCAGAAGCATCTGAGGTTGCTTCGTGCTGCACTGGAAGGGGCAGTAGCTGTGGCCTTTTGGTAGGATCCCAATTCGTCGGTCCTCCGACGTGACGTCCCGTCGCCACAGCTCCTGTACCACCACTGAGCGGCCGGGTCACCGGCTCGGCTCCTCAGCGAAAACCTGAATATGCGCTGCATCTGCTGCCTACTTATACTCACGCTGTGATCAGCAGCAGCTGGATGTAATAATCGCATGCCAATGTGCATTGGCTCGTTTAGTTTACACTCGAAGTAGATTGGTCCCTCTAAGCGAGATCCCAATTCGTCTGTCCTCCGACGTGACGTCTCCGTTCCCTCCTTCAGGGAACGAGGGTTACATACATAACCAAGACGTTTTTTGGTAATTTTTTTCAATGTTAAAATCCTTTTTTTTGAAGCATAATGTGTCATTTTACATCAGTTATTTGTAAGTTGAATTCCCTAAAAAAGTGTTTTTAAAACATTGCTCAGTTTATTGGCACAGAAATTACACACTTAACCTTAAAAAAATAAATAAATCACATAAAAAATACAGATAACTTTATATTATATGTAAGTCGCTGGGGTATATTTGTAACAATAGCCAACAAAACATTGTATGGGTCCAAAGATCATGCTCCATAAAGATATTTTGTAAATTTCCTACCGTAAATATATCAAAACTTAATTTTTGATTAGTAATTATATGCAATGCTAAGGACTTATTTTGGACAACTTTAAAGGCGATTTTCTCAATATTTCGATTTTTTTCCACCCTCAGATTCTAGATTTTCAAATAGTTGTATCTCGGCCAAATATTGTCTTATACTAACAAGCCATACATCAATGGAAAGCTTATTTATTCTTATTTCTTTGATGTATAATTCTCAATTCAAAAAAATTTACCCTTATGACTGGTTTCACGGTCCAGCGTCACATATAAAAAATATATAATTAAATGTAAAATAAATAAATATTGTAAATAATAAATATATTTACAAAACTTGTATTAAAATTGCCTCATTAAGTACTACATTTAATTAATAATACATTAATTGAATAATTAATATGAATTATAAATAATAATGATTATAAATGCTGAACCACACATCTTTTAGTAAATAAAAAAATATTACCCATTATACTGGACTTATATTAAAATGTTCATTTTACTTTTTAAAATCATGTTAAAAATGAGTAAACAAACATACATCTTTCATGAAATTCTTTAGAACTAACATTCAATATTTTTGGCCCATTTAAAAAGTGACAAAACAAAAGTAAGCAAAACGCTTGGCACTGTATACTGCAAATATTCTTGGCTCTTGTGACAAATTGTTTGTGATGTTGTTTTGATGTTGTGATGATTTTTACTGTATGTCACACTTTTTATTCAAAGAGACATCAAAATAAGGAACATAACAAGCATAAATATTTCTTTCTCTTCTTTCAATGCTTGTTATGTTCCTTATTTTGAAGTCTCTTTGAATAACAAGTGTCTGCTAAATGAATAAATGTAAAAGTAACTGTAAATAAAAGAAGTCAAATGAACACTGAAATGGAACACATTGCCTTCCGGAAAGCGCCTCACCTGATTGGTTGTCCCTGAGCTATCGCTGCGACTGAGAGCCTCTCCCTGAGACACGGCGACAGACAGCGCCGACTGCTGGGAGGAGGATCGTGCTGCGGAGGCGGGCGGCGTGGAGAGCGAGCGCGGAAGTGAGGGCAGACTGTCCGTATCCACTTCCGCCTCCTCTTCCTCCTCCTCCTCATCCTCCCCCATCTCCAGCTCGGCACCCAGATGGCAGAGCACCAGGTCCACCAGGTCCTCTTTCTCCCTGCAGGTGTCCGTGTTGATGTTTCGCAGCGTGAGGTACTGCCGCAGGTCTTTAACGCGGAGTCTCATTAACATGGGCCGCTGGAAGGCCGTGCCCCACAGCAGGTGGCAGGTGGAGCAGCGCCGCAGGTTCTCCTGCAGCACAGAACACAGCGAGCAGAAGCTCTTCTTGCAGTCTGAGCAAACGTGCTGCAAAGAGAGAGAGAGAGGATGAATCATTAAACAGCCAGCTAATATGTGTGCATTAGACTGGTGATTTAATTACATCATGCTTTAGCTGTGATGATTGACACTGACAGAACACAGACGCTTCCATCTGTAAATCACTGCGGCATGAACTTCATTTTCCAAGACACTTTCGAACTCTCAGAAGCAGTTGTGGAGTCTCTGTCGGCAAGCCTGGTGGTGGTTATCAAATGCCACCATGCTGATGAATGAGCTGTTCAATCAAACCGTTGCACTCTGGCTTAATGTCAGTTCTATCCATCACATCTCTGCATATGTGTGCTGGTGTGAGCGTCTGCAGACAGGTGTGAAAGTGCTGATAGGATTTCAAAACACTGATGCTTTGTGGAAAAGTTAACGCTCTGATCTTTCATCACTCCTGTCAGAATGCCAGACTTAGGAGGCAGATCAGTGTTTCCTTCACCTCTAGTGAGGAGCAATATTGTTATATATCAAAATATAGTAAAAACTTAATATTGTTAAAAACTTAAAATGTCAGCAGCCATTAGTCCAGTCTTCAGTGTTACATGATTCTTCAGAAATCAAATGTGCTGATTTGCTACTCAAAAAAACATTATTATTTTTTATTTAAAAAATCATACTGAAAATTGACAATTTTGAACAGAAGTGTGTGTGTGTATTATATATGATATGAATTAAACACTACAAAAATATAAATATTAAAATGCTCCAGTGAAAATTTTTGCCAGTAAAAACACTAATCTGAGAAAAAATTTAATCTGTATCTATTCCATAATTCTATAACTTTCCATTGTGTTGACATCACTAACTGCTGCACATATAAAATTAACATGCAATGCACGTCCACTCTGCAAGCAAATAATTTGATTGGTGTGGTTCTTTTTAGTGAGTCAGATGAACTATCTTAAGAATCATTCTGAAAAGAATGCAGTCAATGTTTAATTCATGGACTGAATGATTCAGAACTGATAAGAGTTTTGTGGAAATAAATAGTATTTAAATAAAATAAAATTTATTTAAAAACCTCAATAGTAAAATAATAAATAAAAAATAAACATAAGGTTTAACAAATAATATTATTTATTGTTTAGCATGTTGTTTAACAATGAGAAATTATCACCAATTTTTTATTAAAGAATTCTGACCCATCAGAGCTTTAGACTAGTGGTTGTGTATGTTCTAAACACACACATCGTGTGGAAAATGTGGGTTGGAATTTCATCCATGTAACTTCCCGCTCTCTTTTCCCTGTCATTTATCTCATCTCTCTACTTTCACTATCAAAAAAAAAAGACAAAACTCCTAAAATCATACTCCACAAACCTCAGGTGTCCTACCTTTCGTCTGAACACGGAGAAGGCCAGTCCGCAGGCTTTGCACGCCAGGCCTGCGCTTCCTGAGGTGGTGCTGCTGGGTGGGTAGGTGGAGTAACCAGCACTGGGGGCGAAGCGGAACGGCCCGGCTCCGGTTCCAAAGCCCGGCTGCTGGGTGCGGACCGCCCCTGTGCCCATCACCTCGTTCAGCAGCCCGCAACATGATGCCCACATAGAGGAGGCCCCCGCCTGGAGAAGAAAGACATGTTACAGATATGTTCAGATGTAGGGCCGGGTATTGAGATAAATTTCAGATTCGAGTTTGATTCATTTGGAAATATACCAGGTCAAGTACATTTACATTTTTCTCAAGGAAAAAACTCAAATAATTCTGTAAACTGAATCCTATCAATTGGTACAGAACTACAATAGTAAAAGTGAAAATTAACAACTGATTTACATACTAAAGGCCATTGCACACTGAGTCCGAAATATTCGCACGTTTAAAAATAAATATGACAGCACGTTGTGTCAATCACATTTGCACACTGCCACCGAAACTTTCGTTCGTCATAAAACAATTTGGACCAGGTTCGATTTTCTGCAAGCTGACAGGGAACGTTGTAAAAACGTTTGCTTTTTCCCCCCTATAAATGTTAGGACAAATCATTCTTAAAGTAATGTTTATGAAATGTTCTTTAGTAATATTTGTTATTACTTTAATAATATTAGAACATTGTAACCATTAAATAATGGTATAAGCATGATAAGTAAACTGAATTATAAAAAATAAACAACAATGAAAATAAAGTTAGTAGAATGTTGTTGAAAATGTTTTTGTAACCTTTAAACAACATTCTAATCACACCAGGAAAACTAACATTTTAACATTCTTAGAGTATTAAAGAAACATTTAAATAACATTATATTTTGGGTGAAAATTAATTTAGTAGAATGTTGTTAGAAACGTTTTTGTTCATTTAAAAAATCATTCTAATCACACCAGGAAAACTGGACATTTGAACATTCTTAGTTAGAATATTAAAGATAAACATTTAAGTAACGTTATATTTTGGGTGAAAATAAAGTTCGTCGAATGTTGTAAGAAACGTTTTTGTAACCTTTAAATAACATTCTATTCGCAACAAGAAAATGACATTTCAATGTTTTAGAAACATTTCAAAACAATGTTCCAACAATGTTTTTATAACCTAAATTTGTTCCCTGGGTATTCACATATGGAGTGTGTTATGATAAAGCAATGGCAAAAACTATCCTGTACTTTACCCCAGAGGGCAGATTTGTTTGCCAGACACTGATGAAATCAGGTACATATGCTTTACTGAACTTCACATTATGTAACTTGTACATCATAAACAACCGAATGCACTCAACTTCAACACTCAAAAAAAACTCTGAAACTAGTAATCAACTAAAATGAATCAATGCTTTGCAGGCCTTAAGTGAATCCTCAAGGAACATGATACAGTGTAAAAAGCTGTTAGAGCAAGACAAGGCCCGGCTAATTCTTAGCGTGCGTTTGGAGCATTAAAACGGTGTCAGTACAGCAAAATGGCAGTGAGAGCTAAACAACTGAGATTAATGGACATGTCTCAGGTTTCAGCCAAATGCATGTGCAAACCAAACAATGCTTTCATAAGAATCATAAAAAGCAGACCAGGACTATTCTTTCTCTCCAATGATCTGGGGTATCTAAGAGCTTTCATTTACTTAAGGTGTAAATTTAGAAGATGTTGGTTAAGTCAGTCGCTCTGCTGGATGTTTCATAACACTGCTGAATTTACCACAGCCATGAACTTCCCTAAAATCATGATCTGACTTAATGTAAAGCAAACAAGCAGATCTATATTCACTTTTTGTTGTTGTTTATCTGAAATAGATTGTACCACGAAAATGATTTCTTTCAATAAATCAATAAAACAGAAAAAGAGGTGAAAATTTGTACAGATATAGGGAAAAAACTCAGAATTTCTGCTTGGTCCAATAAATAAATACAACTAATTTCACAGATACAACTCTGAAATATGAAGTTCTTCTAACTTTATTTGTGCTACTACTAACCCCTTTAGAAAAAAAACATCTTAAAGTTGCGATGAAACATAAGTAGTGACAGATTTTTTCTTCTGTGTTGTGACGTTCATCCGAATTAACAAGATTATTGGAAAAAAAAAAAATATGTAGGGCAGGACTTGGTTTTTTCATTGGTTGTTGATTGGATGGAGGCAGATCTGAATGCAAGCTTGATGTTGATTGTAAAAAGAAGCAGTGTTTAAGTGAACTAAATGACTTGGAGAAATCCGACATAAGTAACCAGAGAGAAGTTTGATGAAGCCTGAGTTTGTTTTCATTTCCATTTAGAGGGCTTTTGGGCACTTTTCAGTCCGCAGTCTAGAAGAGCAAACAAAACAATTCATAGTATCATCTCAGACAGGCACAAAATCACTTTCCAGGACATTTTCGTTCACTGTTCCCTGCTGGTGGAATGATCTTCCCAGCCCTATCTGGAACACAGAAATCCTGACAATATTCAGGAAACGACTGAAAAGTTATCCTCACTGTTCTAGCTTGTACTCTTCTAAATAATGTCCTAAACTTTGTATTACAAGCACTTATAGTGTTTATTTGCCCAATTATGATGAATTGCTAGATGTATTCCTCATTTGTAAGTCGCTTTGAATAAAAGTGTCTGCTAAATGAATAAATGTAAAACTCTGAACGTCTTTTATTAATTTGGTGCCACTAACATGGCAAACCTCGGCAAATCCAGTGATTATTTACTAGTTGTATCAAACTGGTACCTTGTAAAAATGACTATTTCTAGGTGGACTGAAAACTCACGGAAGTTGCGTAAAGTCAGCGAATCAGATTCATGCTCGGTCAGTGAATGGACAGTAAAACACAACATGCATAAGACCTCAAAACAAATAAAAACCTTTTTACAGGCAGTAACATTCATTGATTCTTTAATCAATAAACCCTCAAACAAACATCACCATATTGACACTATAACCAACCATGGCAGCTTTCTGTGACCCAACATGGCGTGATGTCTTGTCTCAGAACAACACTCCGGAGGTGGGGGGTGGGGGGAGGTTGGTGATGGAAGAATGCATCTTCTGTTTAAGAGCAGGACAATCGATGAGCTGAAATGAGCATACATGCATCCTATGGTTCAGAGCGACAGAGAGAGAGAGATGGGCTGAGAGGATCAAATCTGTTGCTGCTCTTACACACAGTGCAGAGCAGGTTAAGCTAAGCGGAGCTCTCCATTTGCCTTTGTTGTTTATACACTTACATAATGCAGGCCAATACTACGTTTGTAGGATCTTTCTGTATGTGTGAGCACACAACAATAGTGATTCTTTCTCTTCTATAGAAAGACAACAGAACACAAAATAAAATAATAAAATAAATAACATAAAATTTAGGCTAATATAACAATTTAAATAAATATAAAACCAAGGTTGCATTTATTTGATTAAAAAACAGTAGTACTAGTGATAATAGTAATATTGTGAAATATTTTTGCAATTTAAAATAACTGTTTGCTATTTTATTTTAAAATAGAATTTATTCCTGTGACGCAAAGCTGGATTTTCAGCAGCCATTAGCTACTCCAGCCTTCAGTGTCACGTGATCCTTCAGAAATCATTATTATCGATGTTAAAAACCGTTTTGCTGCTTGATATTTTTGTGGAAATTCTGATAATTAATTTTTTTCGGGATTCTTTGATGAATAGAAATTTCCAAAGAATCCAAAATCATTTGTAACATTATAAATGTTAACTCTTGCTTTTGGTCAACTTATTAATTATTATTATTATTATTTTAAAGGGGTCATATGATGCGATTTCAATTTTTAAGCTGCAAAGACTAAAGTCTCAAATCCAAAGAGATATTTTTTATATAAGTTAAGACTTGTCCATGCCCTCCTAAAATGCCTCATTTAATCACGCCCCCACATGTCTACGTCACTGTGTGGGAAGATTACATAAGGCATAACGCCGCCCAAATGTTCATGCAAAGAAAGAAGGCGTAACTTTTATTCTCGCTGTAGTATTGTTGCCGCCGCCGCCATGTTGTGGATATGCTGTGTGTATAATAAAACTAGAGATATTTTTTATATAAGTTAAGACTTGTCCATGCCCTCCTAAAACGCCTCATTTAATCACGCCCCCACATGTCTACGTCACTGTGTGGGAAGATTTGCATAACACCGCCCAAATGTTCACGCAAAGAAAGAAGGCGTAACTTTTATTCTCGCTGTAGTATTGTTGCCGCCGCCATGTTGTGGATATGTTGTGTGTATAAAGCTGGATTTTCAGCAGCCATTAGCTACTCCAGCCTTCAGTGTCACGTGATCCTTCAGAAATCATTATTATCGATGTTAAAAACCGTTTTGCTGCTTGATATTTTTGTGGAAATTCTGATAATTAATTTTTTTCGGGATTCTTTGATGAATAGAAATTTCCAAAGAATCCAAAATCATTTGTAACATTATAAATGTTAACTCTTGCTTTTGGTCAACTTATTAATTATTATTATTATTATTTTAAAGGGGTCATATGATGCGATTTCAATTTTTAAGCTGCAAAGACTAAAGTCTCAAATCCAAAGAGATATTTTTTATATAAGTTAAGACTTGTCCATGCCCTCCTAAAATGCCTCATTTAATCACGCCCCCACATGTCTACGTCACTGTGTGGGAAGATTACATAAGGCATAACGCCGCCCAAATGTTCATGCAAAGAAAGAAGGCGTAACTTTTATTCTCGCTGTAGTATTGTTGCCGCCGCCGCCATGTTGTGGATATGCTGTGTGTATAATAAAACTACTTTGTTTGGCCTTCCAAAAGAGGACGATATCTGCTTCATCATGCCTAGAGCTGATCCGTGCTGGTCGCTGAGGAAATACATCAACTTCGCGCTGTCAATCGCCGGATTGGCTTTCACCGTGGAAGAAGCGGAGTCCAGCCCGGGGTCGGCACTTGTGGTTGCCGCAAGCCTCCTTTGTAGAATCTGCCGGGTGCCGCTCACTCAAGCCGCTGCGTGTTTCGTTGTGAAAGCGAAACTACTTTAAATAATGTCCTAAACTTTGTATTACAAGCACTTATAGTGTTTATTTGCCCAATTATGATGAATTGCTAGATGTATTCCTCATTTGTAAGTCGCTTTGAATAAAAGTGTCTGCTAAATGAATAAATGTAAAACTCTGAACGTCTTTTATTA